TGCTCACCGACGCCGAGAGTGACCTGAGCCACATATATCAGTTTGATATGGAGCAGCGGCTACAGCGCCAAGGACGAGCTGATAGTCCTCGCTGCATCTCGAGGGCACTTGGGAGCCCGCGGAGTGGGCCACACCCTTCGAGTCCTGAATCAGGCGATGATTGACCTCGTCCTCCACGTTACTGACCCGACCCTCGGTGCTGCGAGATGCGTCCCAAGCCAGGACACCGTCGGGATGTTCACACTGAAGAGGGGCTCTTGTTGTTCGACATGGCATGGCCTAGCATTTACCTTGCCTCCCAGCACGCCGCTGACCAGGCTTGGGCATGTTTGGAGACAGACGCGTTACAACTCGGGGATACTGCCAGTCGCCGCGGAAGGGGGCAGGTTGCGCCTGGCTTCGCAGCTACCGAGCCTTGGCGAGAGTCGCGTTTCAGGCTAGCCCTGTCCCTCTCTTTGGCATGACACGCGTCGCGACGTGGAACCGCAGCCGGGTGAAGTGACGCGGCAACCCTCAGGCCTTCGCTGACCACCAGATGGACGAGTGGAATGCGACCTGGGAGTGCACACCTGCCACCTTCCTTGCAGACGACGCTCGATGCGTGCATCGGCGGCGGTGGCAGCGAGGTCACATTGGGATGTGAAGCGGAGGCGGGAAGCGACCTCGCATGTGAGATGCGCCACAGGGTCGACTCGGCTGACCAGAAATCCTAGGTGACATTGCTCGGCCCACGGCCAAGCCCCTTCCTGCCACGACCGTCGACGTGGGAGGATGCGCTGCTGAGTCCTTTCAATGGCGTACTGGGCTCGGGCGCGATGGAGTGCCACCTCGCGCTTGGGCGCTGTTCTCGGATTCAGCCGTGGCGCTCGCGCTGCATGCGTTGTGGGCTGCGGAGTCCCGGGCGCGATGGCCGTCGGCGACGCCATCATCCATTCGCATTGTGGTCCTGGGCAAACCGCAGGGAGGACCCCGACGTATTGTGCCCATGCCGTCGCTGTATCGTTTGTTTGCTAAGGTTCGCATCCACCGCGTCAGAATCTGGACGGTTGATCACATTCAAGTCGACGGTCGATGCCGGAGCCAGAACGTTACTGCATTGCGAAAGCCACCGAGGCAAGTCGGACACAGAGGTGCCAACGTGCTCATCGACATCAGCAAGCGCTTCGATCGCGTCTGCTGGAACCGCGCGCTCAAGGCGAGGACCAGCTGGATTCCCCAACGCCAGCGTTGAATTTACGCTCGGCAATGCACGACGCGCCAAGGCGCATCCGCTGGGGAACGCCGCACTCCTACGGCGTCCAGGTGCAGAGGGGGATCTTACCTGTATGCTCGGTTGCAGCGTTCCTGCTCCAGTTGGTGGTGATGTTGCCCATGGCATGTTTGAGAAGAGTTTTGAGCTTGAGCCGGGGGGACTCTCGGGTTATGCGCGCAGATGAAACCACGCTGCGCGCAGTGGTTCTCGCCCAACACATCGTGGATATTCAGTGCGCATTATCCAACGCTTGGCTGCAGTGCGACGGGCCATGGAGTTACCAATGGCGGAGAGCAAGGCGAAGATCAGGTCGTCGAGCCCTGTCGTCGCACGGCAGGTCATGGAGGAGGTGAGGCATCACGTCTTTCGCGCCTGCTCAGCCTTGGAGGTCCCAGGCGCTGAGTCTCGCGGAGGTGTGCCTATTCGGCGCCGTGCGATCCGCATGCGGGTGCGCGCGGTGAGGCCACGTGTCCCTCGTTCCATGCGTCTCATGGGCTTGGCCAAGATCGGCGGGGCCATCGCGCAGCCATCCATCGTACCTGCGCTCCTCCATGTCGTCCAAGTCGTTGGAGCCGCAAAGTCCATCATCCGATCCATGGCGGCCGTGGCGCGCGCGGGTTGGTCGCGCGCGCCGCCCGGTTCCTCCGCGCCGCTGGCGTCGCGGCTGGAACCCCGCCGCCACCGACGTCCGGATGCATTCGCAACGGTGGAACTGATACTCACATGGGCTACGCTGTCGCATGACGCGGCAATGGAAAATGGCATCGTGCCACAGGCCTTCAGCCACCAGCAGCGCCGACGCGGCAGCACAGATCTTGAACAAGGGGCGGCAGGACCAGCGCGCGCCGCACTGCGAACCACGGCGCACTTGCAGTGGCGCGTTCATTCACCGTTTCACTGGACAACGGCGGCGGGCACCGACCTACGGCTCATAAACACACCTTCCCAGTTGGCTCGGACATTGGCGCGGAGAGCTCATGAGTGCACCCGCTGGGAAAAGTGGGCCGCAAAGTCAGACCACGCGCCCGAGGCGCCCCCCCCCCCCCGCGGGGATCCGCGCGGCGACTGGCTGGCCCCGCTCCGCCTCCCCCTCGCCCCTCGCGAACAGAGTCGCCCATGCGAACTCCCCCCGCAGGCCAAATGGGGCCCTGCGCAACGTGGCCGTCGGAGCGCGGCGGTCCCAGGCACGCCTTTGCAGAAGCGGCTGCGCGGACAGTGGTGAATGCTTGCGTTCTGGAGACTGCGACGGTGAATCTCGCCGCAGATTTCGAGCGCGCCTCGCGCTGGAGCTGGAGAGGGCCTCGGCCGCGGGCGATGCAACCTTGGGCGCCGCGCGCCGAGCCCCAGCCAACGACGCGTTCTACACCGGAAGCTTTCTTCTCCGAGATGCCCTGCCGAAGGTGCCGCCGCCATGCGCGCGGGAGATCTGGCACTGCGCTCGCGCTGCTCTGACGGTTCAGATGCTAGGCGAGGTCTCCACGGACGGGACTGGACACAGCTTGGTGGGCTGGTCGGAAGGAAGCTGGGCAGGGTGGGGCATCGCGCTGATGGGCGGGCCCCACTTCGAGGGGATCGCGTTCGAGCCCTTGCCGGGAACTCAGCAATCAGGGCCGAGAGCTGAACTATTTGCCGTTCTGATGACCTTGCAGAGCGGGCTTCTCCCATTGCGCATTCACACAGACTGCAAGCTGATTCTAGAGGGCGTCCGTAACGGACGAGACTGGCGCCTACACCCCCGACGACAGCATCGCGATCTCTGGGAGAGGGTGTGGCACGTGAACATGGACCACGGAGGCCCTTCGGAGACGCTCACTTTCACGCGCGCCGAGACTCGCCAGACAGTTGAGCAGAGCATGACGCACCGCGGCAAGAGCGGCAACGACTGGGCGGACGCCGCAGCCAAACGGAGCCTGGCAAAGCATGCGTTGGACCCTGAGGCCATCGAGCAGCATGGCCGGCTACTGGAGCGAGTGAGGCAGGTGGCTTCGTGGATCTCAAACGCCCAGCAGCTCCTCGCGGCGAAGGGCGTGATGGGCCGTGTCCCGACCATGGCCAGGCTCCCCCGTGACCAGCGTCGAGGTCGGCTTCGAGCTGCTGCCGATGGTGACCAACGGCTCCAGCAACCACGACGCAGGCGTCGGACTGATGCCCGACACCACACCGCCTAGCTGCTTCGGAACAGCCATACCAGCCCACCCAACATATTAGAGGATGGGCATGTTGCCGGTGCCCACGCGTTGCGCGCACTGCTCGCGGGTTTGCGAGAATGCGTTCGGAGCCGCGTTGTGTGAGGCGGCTCAACGGTGCTGCGAAGGCCGCTCCCGATGCTGCTGCGTCGGCCGCGACGACGCAGCAGCGTCAGGACCCGAACCCAACTCCCGATGAGCTGCTGCAGACCCTCTCTGGGCTTCCCCACGCTACCAGCAGGCCGCCTGAGAGAGCCCAGACGGAGGACGAAGATGAGAGTCGTAAGAGGCTCCGCAAGGAGCTAGAGCCCCACGGAAACCCTGCGTGCCCCAGGGTGGCCAGGCCCAGGATTGGGGACCCCTCGTCCTCCCCTCCCCCGCCCCTGGAGCCTCCTCCTGCTGCTGCTGCTGACCCGTCCGTCACGTCGTCGTCTACCCCGCCTGGACCCAGGTCCCAGGCCAGGCCTTTTGGATGACATGGCGGACACGCTTATAAGGCGGACCAAGCCGAGGGTGCGTTTCGAGGCCGACCTCAAGGTGTCGTGCGGGAGGCGACGTGCGCGCTCGACCTTGGCTCGATGAAACGCCCCAGTCTGGAGGCCCCTGGCCCGGCCCCGGCGTGCATCCCCAGCATGGTGCTCCCGACCGAAGGCCCTGTCCCGCCCGAGGCCGCCAGGGGGGCATATCCTGTATAGAGCTGGAAATATAGTTGCATGCGCTCGTTGTGGATCCTTCTTTCAGCGAGCAGTTCGCTATCAGCTTTTCGCCCCGTGTGACCCGAGTTTTCACGTTTCTCCGAATCCATTTTAGCTTGTTGAAACGAGTACCGCCTGGCTGGCACATGTCTTCCCGGAGGGGCGCCTTGTCTCCTGCCGTCTGTGATTGGCGGGCGCTCCGATGGTGTGTGTGTGTGTGTATGTGTGTGCGTGCGTGTGTGTATGTGTGTGTGTGTGCGATGGCGCCTGCTTTTCTTGTCCATCCGTCCATCCCATTATTGTTGCTGCTCTCGGCGCGTCGCTTAGGGGGTCGCTCCACCTCCTCCTCCTCCTCCTCCTCCTCCTCCTCTCTCTCCTCCTCATCATCATCATCATCATCATCATCATCATCATCATCATCATCATCATCATCATCATCATCATCATCATCATCATCATCATCATCATCATCATCATCATCATCATCATCCTCGTGTCCCTTCCCCTGACTTGCACTTCCTGCTCCCCTCTTCTGCCTCCTCCCCCATCCTCCCTCCCCTCCGTAGGGAAAAGCAGCAGGGTGCCTTTGCCCCTGCCGCGTGGCCCGGCCGGCGCGGAGCGCCAGCGAAACCTGGTCACGCCCCCGGGCCTGAGCGGCCCAGGCGCGAGGCGAAGAAAACGTCAGCGAGTCGGTTTCCCCTTCTCCCTCTCCTTTCTCTCGTTACCCTCCTTGCCCTCCTCCTGACCCCCCCTCCCTCCTCCCCTCCCTCCCCGCAGCTCGTCCTCGACGCCGCAGGGAGGGAGGGGGAGGCCACCGGGCGGGGGCGGCCCCGGACTGGCCGCGCCGGCAGAGTGGACCGCCGCGAGGAGTCCCAGGCGCAGGCGCTGGTGTGGCAGCAGATGCAGCAGGAGCGGCGCCCGCCGGGGGGAGAAGTCCTGGGAGGGAGGTTTCAGGGCGGTTCGAGGAGGAGATCGAGGGGGCAGAGGAAGAGGAGAGGATCGAGGATCGAGTCGAGGATCGGGGATTGAGGAAAGGAGGGTGGAGGAAGAGGAAGAGGAGGAGGAGGAGGAGGAGGAAGAGGAGAAGGAGGAGGGAGAGGAGGAGGAGGAGGAGGATGAGGAGGAGGAGGAGGAGGAGGGGGAGCGGGAGGTAGAGGAGGAAAAGGAGGAGTGGGAGGAGTGGGAGGATATGGAGAGAAAACAGTGGCAGCCTTCTTGTTATGTGTTGTTATTAGTGCGCCTTCTTTTCTGACGTATTAGTTTCATTCGTATTGTCGTTCGGATTATTAGTAGTGTTATCATCATTCGTCGCACGCTTCTTCTTCATAGTAGTCATAGTAGTATGTCTATGTCTTACAGTTCACATTATTAGTATCCTGATTGTCATCCTTATCCCTATCGTTATCCTTATCCTCCTGCTCCTCCTCCTCCTGCTCCTCCTCTTCCTCCTGCTCCTCCTGCTCCTCCTTATCCTTCCCCCTCCTCCCAGCCACGAGGATTGAGACTCCAAAGTTTTGAGTTGTTTTGCTAGAGTGTTCGGGACTCCCTCGACTTCCTCGGGTCTCACGACATCAGCCACGATCATGCGATGAAGCGCGCACGCTCCAGAGGGAAGAGTTCGAGACGGTGGGGTGTGAAGTTATGGCGCCATTTACCATGTCGCAAAAAAGGTAAAATCAATCAAACCGGGTGTAACAATGCAGAACTGTGACAGGGTGTTGTTGAGCATGTGAACAGGGTGCTGTTAACTTTCAGGGATATGGCTGAGGAGCAGTTTGAGACTGTGTCGGTCCGACTTGAAGCTTCATACATGTTCGTTTCGGGTGCACTCGGTGTACATGCCGATCGCTTGGCTGCCAGATGCTGACCCGAAGCGGTGTACAGGGATATGCTGTTAGTTTAAAAAGCGGCGGCGTCAAGAAATCTTGGATTTATCGTTGGTGGCGTTTTCAATGCCTCGGTCGGAGCAGCATGTGATTCGGTGGGCAACGCGTACATCGGAGAACATGGGTTCGGCGATCGGATTCAAAGTGGGGGCGATCCTGCGCCGAGGGTAGCAGAGGAGTCCTTGTTGCAAACGCAGATTTCAAAGCTCGGCAGGGGGGAATTGGGAACATTACGATGGAAGCAGGCATAGGCAAACATATTGTTCTGCGCGGACGCAGCCCTGAGCGCTCGCACGACATATTATTGAGCAGTTCCAGAAATTGGAGTTGGCGTCGATCACCGAGCAGCGAAGATAACACTGCATTTGCCCAAGCCAACGGCCGACAAGCACGAACAGGTAAAGCGAAAGGGCCCGATCCGCTTCGTTGAGCATCCAAATTTTGAGCCTTAATGGGGATTTCGCAATATTGCGTGGGAGGTCACGTTTGGGAGGGGGTCTGATTTGAGCGGTCTTGGAGGGTTCCCGGGTGGTTTGGGCAAAAGGCCGCCCTTTCATGGCTGGTCTGGGGGCGGGGTGCAATGGCTCCGCTGGAAGGGTTGTCCCCCCCCTTTCATCACGAAATTCGGACTAAGTGGACGGAGGATCTGAAAGCAACCTGCGGCTTGGAAGAGGCCTCCATTGCATTGCCGGCCTCAGAAATACGCATCCGCATGGGGTCTGCAGCATCATCAGTTACAGACAAATGCAATGCAATACCAACATTGCTACGAAGAAAAAGCATCGGACATATTTGCTTCTTCGGATACGTCAGCTGCTGGCGGAAAGAAGAACAGAGCGAACGGGAAGGGAAGGACAGCGGACACCGAAATGCATCAGCAATGATCTGAAGAAGCAATTTCAGCATGTGGGGAAGGCAGCGCAAACAAGAGAAGATAGATGACATCTTGCGGGGATGTGCCAGCATTTGGAGAATTCAAAGCGTAGGTTAACATGATAAGACGCAGCGGCTGACTTGCGTGAGAACCAACAAGGGGGTCGAAGTCTCGGACAGAAAGGGCATGGCTTGGAAACGTACGTGCAACACTTCACAACAAGTTGTGCACAAGCAAACCTTGGCCAGGAGAAGCGGACCAGGCATCGTCGCCTACAAGGGGGCAGCCGCACATGCCGCCGGTCACAACCGAAGAGGTGAGGGAACAGGTTCTGAATTTCAAACGTGGCAATGAGTCGAACTCGGCTGGCATGGTCGCAGAGATGCTCAGAGCGGGGGGGGGCGACTACTTGCTGGAAGTGGTGGCCTCGTGTATTATTCGCAAGCACTATGACAAATCGAGACGAGCCCCCGCAAACATGGAGGCACACGCACATCAATCTGGTTTTTTCAACAAAGGATATTCCAAGTTGCCGAGCAACTATCGTCCTATTTGGAGTCCTCCGATCGAAGACGCCTACGGCGAATCACCGCCACCCCCTGCCTTTTTGGAAGCGCCTATGTGGCCGAACGTTGAGGCCAGACCTGCCAAGCTATCGGACCATGTGTTCCCCGAATCGGTTTGGAAAGCCTTCGGGGAACACGTGGGCATCTTGAAGGTCATCTTGGCCGTCTGGAGGCCATTTTGACCCTTTCGGGCCTTCTTGGAGGACGTCTTGGAGGGCTCTTGGGCGTCTTGGAGGCCATCCTGAGCGTCTTGGAGACCTCTTGGGCCGTCTTGGGGGCCTCTTGGGGCCGTGTCTTGGGCCTCTTGGGCGATCTTTGGGGGCACTTGGGCCGTCTCGGGCCGTCGGAAGGCAGACAAAAGCAAATGCCACAATCCTTCAAAAACCCATGGGAAATCCATGATTTTGGCCTTTTCGGGCCGTCCTGGAGGCCTTCTTGGAGGCCTCTTGGGCCGTCTTGGGCCATCTTAGGGCCATGTTCGGCCGTCTTGGTGGGCTCCTGGTCCGTCTGACGCCGTCGGAAGCCGTTTGGGGGGCCTCTATGGGCCGACTTGGGGCCCTCTTGGGATGCTCCAGGGCCGTCTTGGAGGCCCATCTTGGGCGTCTGAAAGGCCTCCTGTGCCGTCTTGGGGGCCTCTTGGTGCCGTCTTGGGGCCCTCTTGGGCCGCTCTGGGGCCATCTTGGAGGCCTCTTGTGCGATCTTTCCGCGATCTTCGGGGGCTCTTGGGCCGTCTCGGGCCCTCGGAAGGCCGAAAAGAAGCAAATGACAAAATCCGTCAAAAAACCTTGGGACAATCAAGGTTTGGGGCCTCTTCTGGCCTTCCTGGAGGCCCTCTTGGAGGCCTCTTGTGCCGTCTTGAGCCAGCTTCGAGCCAACTTCGGCCATCTTGGTGGGTTCCTAGCACGTCTGACGCCGTCGGGAGCCGTCTTGGGGGCCTCTTGGGGCCGATTTGGGGCCCTCTTGGGGCGCTTCGGGGCCGTCTTGGAGGCCATCTTGGGTGTCTTGGAGGCCATCTTGGGCGCGTTGGAGGGGCCGTCTTGGGGCCCTCTTGGGGCCGTCTTGGAGGCCACTTGGGCAGTCATGGGGCCCTTTGGGGGCCTCTTGGGCGATCTTGGGGGCCTCTTGGGTCGTCTTGGGCCGTCGGAAAGCCGCAAAGGCGCAAATGCCAAAATCCTTCAAACACATAAGGAAAATCAATGATTTTGGCCCTTTCGGGCCTTCCTGGGGGACGTCTTGAAGGGCTCTTGGGCCGTCTTGGAGGCCTCTTGCGGGCCTGTTGGGCCGTCGTAGACCATCTTGAGGCCATCTTGGGCCGTCTTGGAGGCATCTTGGGGCCATCTTAGCCGTCTTGGAAGCCATCTTGGGCCGTCTTGAAGACGTCTTGGAGACCATCCTGGGCCCTCTTGGGGCCGTCTTGGACGCCATCTTGGGCCAACTGGAGGAAACAGAGGCAACACGGATGCATTTTGAGATCCTTTCCGGGTGGTCGCGGGACGGGCCGAAGCCCCAGGGGGAGTTTTTTCCTAACAGGGTAGACTGATAGGTTTCTAGTAGGATCAAAAGAGGGCAGCAGCTTACTCCACAGGGGGGTCTGGGCGGATGTCGGCGAGCTGCCGGGCGGACGCCGGGCGGACGAACCGGGCTCGTTTTTCGCCAACAGTCACACACTTCGTGCTCTTCGACCTCCCAGAACTCCATTCCCGGGCCACATTTTGAATAACCGGACGCAACAGTCACACACTTCGTGCTCTTCGAGTTCCCAGAACACCATTCCCGGGCCACATTTTGAATGCCCGGAGCCAACTGTAGGCCACTTCGTGCTCTTCGACTTCCCAGAACGCCATTCCCGGGCCACATTCTGAATGCCCAGAGCCAACTGTAGGCCACTTCGTGCTCTTCGATTTCCCAGAACACCATTCCCGGGCCACATTCTGAATGCCCGGAGCCAACTGTAGGCCACTTCGTGCTCTTCGACTGCCCCGAACGCCATCGCCGAATGCCACTCCTGCCACTCCTGGCGCACATTTTGGATGCCCGGAGCCAACTGCACGCCACTTCCTGCTCTTCCACCTCCCAGAATTCCATTCCCGGGACGCATTGTGGAGAACACGCCATTGTAGTCGTAGTAGTACTCGTACGCCTCTCCTCCTCCTTCTACTCGCTCCTCGTTTTTCTTCTCTCATCGACGTCAGAACCCTTGCCTCCTATGACGTCCTCCGCTAGCCTGGGTGGTCTACTCAGGTCGCGGAGGGGGATAGGAGGGGGGTCGTTGCCATGGCTGGTTCCTTCGAATTGACGACGGGGAGGGGGGGGTGCACCGTTCCCTCGGATGGGCACATGCCCCCCTCCAAGGGTCTCCGAGCCCTCCCTCTCCGTCCTTTCCCTTCTCCCTTCTACTCGTAGAGTAGTAGTAGTAGTAGTAGTAGTAGTAGTAGTAGTAGTAGTAGTAGTAGTAGTAGTAGTAGTAGTAGTAGTAGTAGTAGTAGTCGTAGTCGAAGTCGTAGTCGTAGTCGTAGTCGTAGTAGTAGTAGTAGTAGTAGTAGTAGTAGTAGTAGTAGTAGTAGTAGTAGTAGTAGTAGTAGT